TCCCTCTTCTCCTTCCTTCCCCAGATATTAGATACAAACATTATAATTGCAGATATTTGGCCATTTTTCCCCTAAATTAATGACAGTTTAATCTGGTTCATTTTAATATATTGCTCAAATAGAATCATGTGGAGCATACTGTTTTTAATGTACTTTTTATAATTATAATATTGCTAACATCTTTCAAATTCATTAAATATTCTTCTGTAAAACCACTTTTAATTGATGCATATTATTCCATTATATAACTTTACCAAAAATAATAGTCTTCTATTACTAGAAAATTGGCTGGTTTTTAGTTTTTTTGTTATTATAAAAGGCATTGAGATAAGCATCCTTATAGCTTTGGAGGGAGTAAAATGTAGAATACAGGCTGTATGAGCCAGCAGGTCATGGTTCAATTCCTGGTCAGGGCACATGCCAGGGTTGCCGGGGTTGAGCCACAGCTAAAGCTGTGCAGAAGGCAGCCAATCGGTGAAGTTTCTCTCTCATTGGTATGTCTATCTCTCTATCCTCTTCCTTCCTCTCTAAATATCAATAAAAACATATTTTAAAAAACAACAACAAAAAGAGTGCTGGTTCTCACAAAAAGGGAAAGGTTATCATCATCACTGTATCAGCCTCATCTTTACCATTACCTTGCTTTATGCCTCAGGTTGCGTAGTCTTGTGTTTGATATCCCTGAAATCAGAATGCATCTAACCATATTGTCAGCCAGGGGCTGTCATGACATGGTAGTACGAAACCTTCTGTTGATAACTGCTAAGATCGAGAAAGGATGTCAGTGTGTCTAAATGCCTATGAAATTCAGACTTATTCGAGAGATATGAAGAGATATAAGTGGATGTCATAGAATTTATATAATGCTCTTTTAGAGAGCATCTCAGATTGGGTCTCAGAAATGTACCTGAAGGCCTGAGGTATCTGGGCTGGGCTTGGAAGACTGGGGAGGACAGATGGAGGGAGAGGACATGTTTAATATCTTTACGTATTTTTTATACTTCCTTATTGTTGCATGTGGTTAAGAGAGATGATAATGGCCATGATGCAATAGCGTAGAAGCCCAAGAAGGCGTTCATAGACATTTGCAATTTAAAGGCCTTTTGGCAGTTGTGTGTATCATACTCTCTGAATGTAATACCTCCTGCAGCCTCCCTCCCTTGTTAGTGCCCCCTCTTTGTAGGTACAAATCCTCACCCTTTACCTAAATATGGCACACTCTGCTTTTACATCTAAGCTTAGACATTGTTTTAGCTGGGAAGCCTTTCCCAACTCACCAACGCTGGTTAAGTGTCATTTCCGTGGTTTCAGTTGCCCCTTGTCCATATTCTTACCTGACTGCTTATCCCAGGCTGTCTTACTGCCTAGTAACTTGATGCCATTACCACTAATCTGTAAGGTTGTAGAAGCAGGCGCTCTTTCGTTCTCCTATCAACTCTAGGCCTAGTACCATGGCTGGCACACGACAGGTACTCAAGAGTTATCAACTGAGTGAATTTCAGCACCCAGCCCACGGATGCAGCCTGTGGTGACTGTGCCATAGGGCTGCAGGGTGAGAGGAACCAGTGCTCTACAAGGTGTCGCTAAGGGTTGTAGTGGGGACTGTAGTATAAAATTCCTTTTATTTCCAAGTTATTATGAGAGCTTAATAGAGCGAGCTGTCCGTGCTCACGTCTGAGACCCTTATGAAGCGTCTCCTGACACATCTGCAGGAGTCTGGGCACAGCACATCCGACAGCCCACTTCTAGCTGTTAGCACAGTAAGAGCTGAAAATGAGTCCTCGCTCTCTTACTTGCATTTGGGTTTTTTTCAATTTAATCTGAATCAAAATCTTGTTCATTCACCTTTTGCTTTTATGATATTCGAGCTACTTCAATGTTAACTACATTTTCTTAAGTGGTCAGTGACCAACCCAGTCACTTTTTCTTGAGAAGCAAAACACTTCCCCTTTGAGATCAGAGTGAGATGTTAAGTAAAATGAATCAGATGATTTGAGTTCAGATTCTTTCAATTCTGCCTTTCCAGGCACAGTACTTGAACTCAGGATAATTGGTTAAGCTTGGTGCCAAACATAAGGAAGCCATTCTGCCTATTGTCCAGGAACCAGGGAAGAAACCTGGCTTTTGTGCGATGAACCGTGTCACTCACTGGGATCCGTTGAAAAATGGATGCGTTGACGTGGTTAAATATGACAAATGAAGAAAGGAAGGAAGTCACGGTGATGCCTTAATTCAAGCCAGGCTTCTGTGTCCCACTCTTCCACTTTTTGACTGTTTGTCTGTAAACTTCTGTATGTGGATTTCCCCCCAGCATAGCCCCTGTTGGTGACCCATATATGAGGGGCCTTTTAGGGAAACACACCCCCCATGTATCATGGGCCTTTTAGGAAAATACAGCCCGAGGGGAGAAGCTGTCACTTCAAAGCATACCACAGTGCTTAGATAGAGCCAGGAAATTAACCATGTCTGCATGATAATATTCCTTTAAAAGCCTGAAACCCTTTCTTTGATGCTGCTAGTTATCAATCCCTGCTATATACTTGCTTCTATCATGAGATATATTTAGGCTTTTCATTTTTGTTTTTGAATTGAATCCCAAGAAAATAGAACTGGTCTCTCTCTGCCTGGCTGTTCTGCTGGGAGAGAAGCAGTTGAATGGGATGTGGAAATGGGTCAGAGGAGAGGAGAGACCAGCTCTGACCCCTGCACCTTCTTCCTGCCACTCACCTGTTGTTGTCAAACATTCTGTAAAACACATGGGCTCGGCCCACGCTTACACAGTGTCACAGTGGGGAACCAGCACTCTAACTCATCATGATTTTTTTCATACCTTTGACATCATCTTGGTGCCATTATGAAGGTAATTTTGTTAGCTAAAATTATTTTTTTGTGTCAATCAATTAATCCTCTATTATACATAAGGGGAGAAAGTAGGTATTTAGTATATGACGCTCCTGGAAGTTGAGAGGCTATGGGAACTTGGAGAGGGTTTAGCAAAGAAAATGAGTGAAATTGAATAAACTTTAAAAAAATAAGTAAAAGTATTGAGACTATAGTATCTAGTCTAGCAAGAGCAAGATCAAGGATGTATTCATATTCCAGGGATAAGATCACTTATAATATAGAGAACAGTGGTGAATGGACTGTACTGTAAGGAGAACAGGAGAAAAAGGGATCAAATTACAGGATAGCAGATTTGTCTTACGTGGAATGAAGATTTTTTCCTTACTCTTAACATCGATGGGCCAGGGAACACATTATAAAGGACTATGGAATTCATTTTAGTGGGCCTTAAAAACAGGATAGATTCTCCCTGGGATCACTGAAAGGATGTAAAGGAACATACAGGTAATTAAAAAAAAAAAATCCTAGATTGAAAGAGTTAGAATTGAAAAAAAAATTTCTTTATCCTTATCCATAAGCAATAAAAGAAACAATTCATATGAATAACAATTAGGCTTAAATCTCATCTTGGAAAGACCACCTAATCTTATTTTCTGAAAGAACATTGTGAGTTCTTAGGTAATTGCTTTCTTGATCTGCTTTAGGCTCAAGAATTCTCTCTCATTGTTTTTAATTGTGTTAAAGTATGTTTACTAAAGTACTAATGAGACCAAAGCCATACTGATTAAAAACAGAATTATTCAATTCAACCTTTTGAGAGTATGGAATGAAAGGTAGGTTCTCATATTGGAAGATGAATCCTGTATGTCTAATTTGTTGTTTGCCATGTGCCTAATTTTTGTTTGTTTTCTTCCTCAATAGTTCATTTCAGGCCTGTTGAAGTTATAACATTTTTATGAAATGACACTTTTTTCCCCCCATAAAAGCAATTTATCCTAAGAGCTCTAGGCAGGGTGCATCTTCCCTTGTGATTTTTATAGCATCTACTTAATAAATAAATGCACGACTGGCTAGGCAGTGCATATGAAGAGTAGGTTTTGCTTATCATCACCCTTTATAATTTTTAGACTGTTTGGGGTTGAGGTTTTTTTCCCTTCCCCGCTCCCCTTTTCCTGCTCATTGACTTGAATTACAGCTGCTCTTCCTTTTCTTTGCAACTGTACTTTAAATCTATCTTTCAAAAGTTGTTTTCTGCCTTTGGCTTACCTGGTTTCATGTGCCTATTTATTTCGTTATTTGCTGTCGATTTTCTGTTTCATTGTTGTCTTATTTTTAATATAAGTCAATGAATTTAAACATTTTAGTCAAAAATTTTCCTGCCTTTTCTGCTTATGTCCCAGCCACACAGATTTTGATAGATACTTTGAAAACAGATCAGCTTGGAGAGAACTCAGCTCAGACCCAGAGCAGGGCCAGTCCACTCCTCCACTCCACCTGTGGGTCCCCTCTTGGTCTTCATGATCACACACTGAGGTCAGGCCCCTCACTGACCTGACCTCCTGCCATTCCTCTCGCCCGGCACTCCTGCCTCTCACTGTCAGCTCCTTCCTGCCCTTTCCTTACACCGTAGCCAGTGACCTTACTAGGAGACATATCCGCAGTGTTCCTCATTGCTTAAAATCCTTCACTACCACTTCCTTGTCCAAAAGATGCAATCCAACTTCTTAGTGTGCATAAACGCCCTGTATGAGCCGACCATTCCCACCTGCCTGGCCAGCCTCGTCTCCACCTCCTCCCCCCCCCCCCCCCGCCCTCCCCCCCGCTCACCCCCCTCCCCCCGCTCACCCCCTCCCCCAGCCAACCACTCTCACACCAAACTCCACACTCGGGGGCAGGGAACAGGCTGAGCAAGGCATGGAGCTGGAACATGGAGCTGAGCTTCAGCAGTGGAGTGATGGGAAGTGGCGCACCTAGTGCTGAGCATCGGTGTGTGAGGCATCGCGCTGGGTGGGTGCTGGGGCCCTGCCGCCCAGCTAAGGAATGGCGGTGGAGGGGTCAGTAAGCCGTTTTCTCTGAGAGAGGAAAGCTGGTTCTGAAGAGGTTGCCATTACCCTCCCCACACTCTCATGCCCTCGTGTTTCTCTCCCCCACCTCAGCCTGCGATGGCGATCACTGGGGGCCGCACTGCAGCAGCCGGTGCCAGTGCAAAAACAGGGCCCTGTGCAACCCCATCACCGGGGCCTGCCACTGCGCCGCGGGCTTCCGGGGCTGGCGCTGCGAGGAGCGCTGTGAGCAGGGCACCTACGGGAACGACTGTCACCAGCGATGCCAGTGCCAGAACGGAGCCACCTGCGACCACGCCACAGGAGAGTGCCGCTGCCCACCCGGGTACACCGGAGCCTTGTAAGTGACAGACCGCTGGGCTGCGTGCAGAGCTCACCCCTCCCTGCACTCATGCTGCCGCTGCCATCTTATTCCTGTGCTTCTGTTTCTGTTGCTGCCTGAAGAGTCACTGAGAGGGCAGGCGTCCAGGCACAGAGGTGGGATCAGCAGTGATGGCCACGAGGTGATCCTGCTGTCTGACCCTTGAGCACCAGAGCCCAGCAGAGTCTCAGGGCCAGCTTCCGTGCTTTGCTCTGGGCAGGACGAAGATAGAGCGGGCCAGGATGTTGGGCTGGATGGCCAGTTGGGGGTTGCTGGGGCAGAGTTGACGTTCCGCTTTGATTCTCCCACAGTCACATTCCTTTTACACCACTGGTGCTAATGGTCCACGTTTTCCTGTTCCGTGTGGCAAATTAATTAGCTGGATAAAACTGGATGGGTTCAGTGCCTTAGAAAAGAGGAACGGGAGAAGTTGTTAGAAATAGCCCACGATAAAAGGAGAACTGGGTTCATTAATGCCCACAGGTACGTATGTTGCTTTGTGAATATAAGTCTGTGTATCACGTCTGTATAGGATAATTAACTGCTTCCGGAGAACAACGAAGCAACTACTTAGCCTCCACTTTCTTTTGTGGGAAGGACATTCTTCGCTTTGTACAGATGGTCCCCCCCAACTTAGCAATGCTCCAGCTTAACGATTTTTCAGATTTAGGCTGGTGTGAAGGAGACACATTCAGTAGAAACCACACTGTGAATATCTTGAATTTTGATCTTCTCTGGGACTGCTGATAGGCTGTGATAGTCCCTGGTGACGCTGGGCAGTGGCGCTGAGCCACAGCTCCCCGATCACGAGGGTAGCCTCTGGTGCTCTAGAGCATGTTCATTGTGTTAGGTGATTTGGCCCAACTGAAGGCTAATGGAAGTGTTCTGAGCACATGCAAGGTAGGCTGCGCAAGCGATAATGTCCCGTAGGTTAGGTATATTAACTGCATTTTGAAGCTATGTTTTCAATTCACGATGGGTTTATTGGGATGTAATCTCATTGTAAGTTGAGGAGCATCTGTGATAGCAAACAGAGTAAGAGGCAGAGTTTGCCCCCCCCAAAAAAAGTAGGAGATGGAAAAATCTTGTTCCCTTACTGAGAAAATTATAGTTGTAAATCATAGAACTAGAACTTGGGGGAAAATGGGGCTGATTAGGTAAATATTTCCCGCTGACAGTATTGGGGCTATAAAGTAGAGCTAGAGAAAAAGTGCATTAGCCTAGAAAGCCCTAATTTTCAGAAGAATGAATGACCATCCCAAATGATTTAATTGTTAATATTGCTTCTATGGGTTTTTATTAAGGCCGCAATTGAATAGGGCTTTGGAAACTTGGAGCAGTTTCACCAGAGAGAAAAAATGACAGAGGCTTAGAGAAGAAGGTTGGTTCACACAATATGGCACAGGAGGTTAAAGGCATGGAAACCGGTCCATCTGAAGGAGAGGGTGCTGAGAATTGTTTATGAAAAATATGTGCACAGAGTGGAGATGTGCAAACATTTCAATCTCCTTCAAGGTTAGAACAAATGCACAAACAAAAGTAGATTTCCAGTGTAGCATGTGGGCTTTATGAAAGTTACATGGAAAGTTCCTGACACCAGGAGTGCTTTGCCAACCCGAGTCGTTCTTGGCGCGCTCAGAGAGGACAGAGTCTCCTCACATTGAATTGGTTTCATCAGACAGTACCCTAAAACAAAAGGAAGGACCAGGTGGCCCCTCAAAGACCCTTCCAGCCAATATGATCAACGCTCTCAGTGTTAATGAAACGAACAATGTTGAACAGAGAAAGCTGGTCTATTTTAGGACTCTGGGTGCTGTTGTGTCTGTGAACCTAAGGGTCGTGTGGTGGGATAAATAATGGTACCCTTTGTCACCCATTAACCCCTCAGCTGTGAGGATCTTTGTCCCCCTGGCAAGCATGGTCCACAGTGTGAGCAGAGGTGCCCCTGCCAGAATGGAGGAGTGTGTCATCACGTCACTGGGGAATGCGCCTGTCCTCCTGGCTGGCTGGTAAGCTCCCTTCCTCCCTCCAAAAGTCACCTGCTTCAGGACACTCAGGTGAAAACGCACGTGGAGGACTTCAGCACAAAATAAAGTTACACTCACGGTTAAAGATTCCAAAACTGGAGATACCCGACCACTTCAAGCTGGAATGCTTCAGTCCAGAGACGGCAGAGGGTGATTCAATCCTGAACTTGAAGTGCAGTAAGGGCCCTCGTGGAAAAGATAGTAGGCCATCTGTCCTGCATTTCCCCTCAGGATATAAGAGGGAAACATCTCATCTTACATATGGCAGCCAGAGCTGTTAAACACTGTACGTACTTAAATAATCATTTTCATAACTATGTTCTGTTGATCACTATTGTCCTTTGAGACTGTTATTTTCAACAGAATAAGTGTTATATGAAAACGTTATCTGATCATATCAATCTGGAGATACTTTCAGGGAAACCAAATTTCCCAAGTGTTGCAGAACTCTTTAGAGCAGTGATGGCGAACCTATGACACGCGTGTCAGAGGTGACATGCGAACTCATTTTCTTGGTTGATTTTTCTTTGTTAAATGGCATTTAAATATATAAAATAAATATCAAAAATATAAATCTTTGTTTTACTATGATTGCAAATATCAAAAAATTTCTATATGTGACACGGCACCAAAGTTAAGTTAGGGTTTTTCAAAATGCTGACACGCCGAGCTCAAAAGGTTCGCCGTCACTGCTTTAGAGCCTTTAGCATCATAATCCAAGAGGAAGCTATAACCTACCACAATTGCCATACTTTGACCATGATACTCTTTCTTTATGTGGCATCACACAATCTTAATGTGATGTGCGATGCACAATGTCAAAACAGGTTTATTAGATTTCTCTGAAATGAGGAAATAACATTGGTTCTTATTCCTCTGAGTTGGTTTGTGCATAAGTCTGCTGGAAGGCAGAAGAGTGAATGACCAATGTCTGCTTCCTTTATTAGCAAACAAAAAAATAAAAGAGTAATTTATTTCATGATCATTTTCTATCTCCATAAGGGTGGGAAGCTGTCTTGTATAGTGAAGTGACTTCTTAATTGCCAAATCCATTCTCATTCCACTCTTCTATTCTCATTAGCTTCACTTCTCCAAAGCTTTTGACACTGCTTCTCATCCACTTCCCTTTGTTAATCTCTTTTTCCTCCATTTCCCTGATAACCCTCTCTCCTACCTCTCACTAAAGATCTCCTTTCCTAATCCTTCTCCTCATACAGATCACTTTATTGTATTATTCTCTAGGTTTCAGTCTTGTCCTTCTTCTCTGTTCTTGGTATAAGTCTCTGAAAATCTCATCTAGACCCATGGCTTTGACAATCATATACTGATTTTCCCAAATCTTAACTTGCCTAGACACGTGTCTGTCACTATCCTGTTAGACACACCAACCCAGATTACTATGTATGAAGCCACCGTCTGTCTAGGGCAGTGATGGCGAACCTTTTGAGCTCGGCGTGTCAGCATTTTGAAAAACCCTAACTTAACTCTGGTGCCGTGTCACATATAGAAATTTTTTGATATTTGCAACCATAGTAAAAAAAAGATTTATATTTTTGATATTTATTTTATATATTTAAATGCCATTTAACAAAGAAAAATCAATCAAAAAAATGAGTTCCCGTGTCACCTCTGACATGCGTGTCATAGGTTCGCCATCACTGGTCTAGTTGATGCCCAAGCTGGAGGCCTAGGAGCCAGACATGGGATGGAATTGGTTTGGTATTACCCGTGTTGTAGGCATGGAGCAAAGGAGAACTGGAGTCTAGATCCCAGGAAAGTCATGGGAAGTAAGGGAGAGGTCAAGATGTTCAGACCACTGGGACAAGTGGAAACCAAATACCAGACCCAAGGTGAGAGTTAGAAATGGTAAACAAGCAAGACAAAGTCTGATTCTGGAGGCAGAGCCTGGAGAAGTTCCATGAAGCGGTAAAGTGAGAGTGAGGGGCCTTTTATTGGGCACTGATGATAAGGTGGACAAGGGATCATGGAAGGAGCACTGAGGTGGTTCAAGCAGGCCCATCAAAGTCAATATTAATAAAACCAAATTTGTACACCCAAGCCTTTCTTAAGCCTACTCCTCTTCTACTTTAAGAAAAAAAAAAATCTTAGTTAAAACCAATATTTCTCTTAGTGGCCTAAGGTAGAAATGTTGAATCATCTGTGAATTATCTTTGACTCTTTCTCTTCTTTTACTTCTTATATCTAGCCTTTTGTCAATGCTGGTCATTGCTTTGTCCTTGGTAGGGGAAGGATTTTGCTGGAGAGAACTATGTGTTTTTTTAATGAGAAGCTGTAGATTTTATACTCTTGGGACTTTTGTTAGACATCAAATGTAGAGTTGCTTCATCTGAGATTGAAGCTTTCTTCTTGGTTGGGGTGGACATGATGCGGTATAGTGGTAACCACAGGCTTTGACTGTGAGTCCTGCCGAGTAGGTGGCAGGTGGCCGTCTCCATCAGCCCAGTGGAGCCTCCTCTACACTCTGGGCCCCCTACCTGGTTTTGTATGGAATGCTTCAGGTCATCTTTCTCTGTGTGTAGTTGAGCTTCCATCTTATAATTCTTTTTTAACATTTTATTTGTGCTATCATCCTAGGTGCCTTTCAAAGATGAATATACCTTCCTATTACACACACACACACATACACACACATATATATGTCAACCAGAATTAATGTCCTACTTAAAGCTGTTTGCCCACATTAATCCTTACTCATAAACAACATTTCAACAGCATTTCTGAAGCTTATGTGGGATTGTTACAAGCTGAGTAGTTAGACTAAGTCCCTGAGAGAGTAGAATTGTCACCAGAACCCCTGCTTCCCACAGATTGATCCTTTGTGTATTATTCCTTCAGTCATGTTTATACGTTGTGCTCATGGAGGGATTAGAGTTATTTTTACATCTGTCCCCCTCACCACATTGTCAGTTAATAAGGGTTGTGACCTTATCTTTGATTCTCAGAGTTCAAGTGCTGTGCCTGGCACATGGTGATTCCCAGTTAGGCATTGATTTGAATAATCTCTCAAAGGCTTTTTTGGTTCCAAGAGTCTGTGGAAGAACTTTCTCTGTTTGTAGGTAGATAGAAACCACCAGAGGAGACTTAATTAGCACACCAACTGCCTTTGTGGGTAGCCAAGAGTTAGAGGAAATGTATTTTTTTATGCTCTCCAGAATAAACATTTACAAAACCATCTGGTGCTCACTAGCCTCCAATTTCAGAGTGCCCACAGTCTGCCTTTTTTTTTTTTTTTTTTTTTTTTGGAGAGAGAGAGAAGGAAAACAAAACAACAGCTTCCAACAGTTTAAAACATTTTAAAAATTCCTGTAATTTGCAATATGTTGTTTGCTCCAACAAAATCCCAATAAACAGATAAGCTATAAGGCCAAGTGAAGTAGAAAATAGTAGAGTATTTCCTAGATTTATTGGTACAGTATCTTATTCTTTTCCACATAGAATAGGAATAAATATGACAAGATGGACAGCCTCTAGGGTGAGGACACATGTCCAAGTTACTCTTGATTTTTCTTACCAGGAAACAAGGTTTCCTATTGATCTTGGCCCAGTAATGTTTGTTGAACCTGCTGAAAATAAAAGTGTTTTTCTTCTGAAATAAAATGTCTAGGTTCACATATTTTTAAGGTGATGTTATTGTTAATTCAGGTACACAAACTTTCAGTCTTATGTTATGCTACGTTACAAGAAAGAAAGCCAATGATAATGTGTATTTTCTCCAGAACATATGGTAAAGCACTTGGATATTTCATTTGCACCAGATGTTGCTGTTTATGTAATGGATGCTCAATAAGTATTGTTGACTTATTGTACTTGTAAGACACAAGGAAGAACACTTAGAAGGATTTATAAATTCCATAGATTACCATAATAACTTGATGTGACTCTATCTTAAGCTTTAGTTTTGTAATATGGGTGGCTATTTCTTCAGAATTCTATTCTGCCACCTTTGAATGTGTCTTGAGATTCAGGCTTGCTGAGTAAATAAGTCAGTTTAAATTTTCTAACATTTTTTAAGATGAATCTGTGTTCTAAAATCCCCTAAATTTCTTGCAGCTCTGTTCCCATATCCCTCCTTCCCTTTCTGTTTCCCCTCTTTCCTCCCTCCGTCCTCCTTTGGCCCTTCCCTGGCTGGAGGCCCATCTAATTTCCCAAGTCTCTTTGAATGCAGGGCACAGTGTGTGGTCAGCCTTGCCCCGAGGGTCGCTTTGGAAAGAACTGTTCACAAGAATGTCAGTGCCATAATGGAGGGTCGTGTGATGCCGCCACAGGACAATGTCATTGCAGTCCAGGATACACGGGGGAACGGTAAGGGACAGTCTTGTATTTGTTTGTAATGGTGTGAGAGGAGAAAGCGTCCAGCGAACGCCTCCATTACCATGTGTCTGTGACTGTTCTATAATATTCCAGAGCACCTACCAGGTATCAGAGGGTTTGACACATTCTTTCCCAGCTCAGTGCATAGGAACTGAATCATAGATGGCGATGGGGAATTGAAGAAACAGAGAAAGCATTAGAAATAAAAATATCAGCCATTCATAACTTATGAAGAATATGTCATTCTAAACAGATGAGTGCTTAGGACAGCCACTTTAAGCAAAAAACTTTTTACCTTGTAAACAATTTTGGATAGGTTTATTTTTAAATGGGATGTGTACTTAGGTATATTTAAAAAATATGTTGGATGTAATGTTACCTCCAATGATTCAGAATTGTATTAAGAATATCAGTCATTTTCCTGTGCTCCAGTGACAGAGTAAGATGCAATGGGACTTATAGGGCTCCCTGGTCCCACATCGTATCCTGGAAAACAAGGTAATCAAGCTCATTGGATATTTATGTAAAATCAGAGAAAAGAGACTTGAGAAGCAAAAGAGTATAATGCCTGAAAACAAAGATTTTGGAAACTGTGTCCTCATCTATAATGTTCAAATAATAATTATACGTTCCTCTAGGATTATTATAAGAGTTAAACAAGGACATTGAAGCATTTAGAACTGTACTGAAACATGAATATTAACTATTATTATAATTGAGTGATTTCTATGAACTGTATAAATCCTAGTGATTTCAATTTGAGTAATGTTAGGACTGTACTAATATTACCTATCTTTTTTTTTAATCCTCACCTGAGCATATGCTTATTGATTTTAGAGAGGGGAGAAAGAAGAGAGAGGTAGAGAGAGAAACATCAGTGTGAAAGAGAAATATCAATTTGTTGCCTTCTGTATGTGCCCTGACCCGGAATCAAACCTGCAACCTTTTGGTATACGAGAGGATACTACAGCTAACTTAGCCACACCAGCCAGGGCTAGCTATCATTATTTTTTGATGGTTTCTGTGAATTAAGAATTCTTTCAACCTCCTTCCTTAATTTTTTTTCTTTTTAAAAGCCTGATCTAATTTTATGACTTTTAATAAAATACTGTAGGGTGTTTTCCCCCCAGTTAGACTCTCTAATTCCTTGTTAAATGTATTACTAAGTGTTTTGTAATTTTTGAAAAATTCAATTCCAGTTTCTAATTGGGCATTTTTGGATAAAGGAAAACTTACTTTTGAATACAGGATGGGGCAAAAGTAGATTTATAGATGTGAGTACATGAAATGCAGAGTTTATTCTTATATTATTATTTATTATTTTCCATACAAACAACTGTAAACCTGCATTTACCGCACCCTATATTTACTTCTACCAATCTTTTTCATTAACTCTGTTATTTTTAGCAAATGCTAAAATTTTTTTTATCATCTACAGATAAAGATAAGTCAGTCTCTTCTTTTCAATATATAATGACTATTTCATTTTCTTGAGTTATTGCATTAATTAAAACCTTTAAATCAGTGTTGACAAAAAGAGGTAAAAATGGGAATTCCCCTTTTGTTCCTAATTTTATTGGCAATGACTTCAGTATAGTTTCATGTTTGTCATTGGTTCTTAGAAAACTCTTCCATCCTCAAGTGGGCTTTTTAATCCCTATTTTTCTTAGGAACTTTGTTAGTAGTATATGTTTAATTTCATGAAGGGCTTTTCCATATTTTGTTAACATAACTAATGCAATTTTTTCTTTAATGGTTTGATTCTATGACTTGCTGACACCTTTAGTGCCTGGTTTGTATGACATGTAATTAGGCTACTTGGTACATTTTTGTGACCTGCATCCTGAGTTGTGATTGTATTTTGAAGAGAGGAGGTTGCTAGATGAGTTCTGGATCCATGTGTCACTAACGTCTTATTATAGAAAGATGAGTCCGGAAAGGAGAGGTACAGGACCAAGCAGAATCCTAAATACAAGTTTGTGCAGTATTTTAGTGCACTAAACATTTAAATGTAATTGTTTTTTGCCCTCTAGGGATTCAAGTCTTAAATCCGAGGCAACACAAAACAACAAACATATAAGGCAGGCTTATATTCATCTTATTTGGGATATAAGGAAAGGGAATGGCAGCTCATTTTCAGTTGAATTTTAGACTTGAAGCAAGGAAGGTGAAGAGCCAGAGAAAGAGAAGGAAAATGAAGAGGGGACTTGCTTCTTGAGTTGTTGTTCTTGTAATTATTATTATTATTATTATTATTATTATTATTATTATTATTTATGAACTGATGGCGTGACCTCTGTTTTCAATTAGTCTATAGCCATCTGGTTTCTAGAGTTCACACACACACACACACACACACACACACACACACACACAGTGAGGACAAGCACATTTGTCATATGAAAGGAAAATAATGTGTGGCTATGGGGCAGTTTGTGGCAGGAGGTGTAAGGAAAGGGCATAGGGTCTCTTGCTATTTCCCCTGTGCTGAGCAGTCAGCAGTAACTTGATGACTGAGGTTAGGCCAGAGGCTGCCTGGAGGAGCAGGTACCACCACATGCGTTGCCAGCCAAGCATTAGCAGGATGTGGGAGCAGCTTTCCCATCCAGAGGGCAAACAGGAAAACAAAACAGGCACCTTGGGGCAGGCAGAGCTGCCCCTGTAATAGGCTTGGGTGTGTGTGGAGAGATTGAGGATATTATCATAAGGGAAATGTACAGTGTCACAGCCAAGCAAGAGTAAGGAGAAGTTGGTTTCTAGATCTTCCCAAAAATTCTTCTAAAGGGGTTAAAAGAGTGTTTTTAATGCTAACGGTTGTCTGGGAATCTCTGAGGCCTTCGATGGCCTCGCTGGGGTCTGTGCACATCATGGGTGCTCCCTAACGTCAGCTGGACGGACAGATTTGTGGATCAATTTTGGACTCTGTTCAGATGCAAACTAAGACTGTCCTGCCACGCCTATGTCCATACTGCCCTCGAAGCAAAGAAGAATGTGTGAGAAAGGAGGTCAGAAATTATAAACAGAAATTGGGGGGATGCGGCTTGCTCTTCCGCAGAGGAACCCTGTCCTCTACCTGGAGCTGTGGGAAGCGGGCTCTTTCGCAGCGCTTTGTATATGTTCTCCCGAGAAGTTTGAAAGGCAGGAGCCTGATTCATCCATCCAGGCTTAGTGAGGAATGTGATTCTTTCACTGTATCATTGTTTGGCCCAGTTATTCCAGTCACTCTGGGAGGGACATGCTCAAAAGGACAGGAAGACAAGGAAGCTGCCACCCCTTCTCTGCCAACTCACTTTCTTTTCCACAAGTTCACAGTGAGATGCAATATCATTTTCGAAATGGTATTAATCCTGTGACCCTCATTGGTTTGGGAATTGATATCACGCTGTATTAGTTTATCTCTGTTTATTGCTTATCTATTTTTCCTAATTCCAGGGAGTTATTCAAAATCTTAAAAATATATGTAGAAACTCTAAATATTCATTTTTCTACTGTGGCCAATATTTATTGCTCTATTTTTATCCACCTCTCTGTCATCTCTCCTAAGAAAATGTATTTCCAGTTTTCCTGATTCCTAAGATAGCTTTTCTTGTTCCACTTGGTACCACAAAAGCAACAGTAGGGGCATTAAATTAGCTGGGAAATGATGCTACTTTTTCATAAAGGGGTCAAAAAAGGGAGATAAGAATGCTTGCGAAAGACTTTTACATTCAGCCAATCAGAAACGTAGAAGCTACTTCATGATCGTGTTTATTTTCAAGATGGAAAATGTCTACTTCTAGACATTTGAAAGATGGAAATGGGCATAACTATTATTAATAGGATTTTCATACAAATGCAGTGTTGACAGAAAAGAAGTGGGAATATGAACCAAGCTTTACATCCTGGCTACTTTAGGAAGTAAAATTCAAATGGCTTTTTGCCATTTATAACACAAACTAATAGTATATTTAATTATAGGTTAGAAAGATAAATATGGCCAGGACCAGCTATTATGAATACTGTTTTCCCAGAGAAAAGGAAGTCTCTGCCAAGACGTGATAAAATATACACTCTGCTTCCCTGTCATTTGGTAGCTGACGCGTTTCCAGGCCTCCGATCTCTACCCGGTCCACCCACTTGAAGAGCTGTGCTTTCTCCTAAGTTACAATCATGCAGCCCAGCGCTTAGCATTCGGGTTTATTTTCAAATCCATACAAGAGGGAGAAACCCTTTTACATCTCTTTTTCTTTTTGGTACTAACTTGCAACGAAACCTGGACAGACAGGTTGCAAAGTTGTCATACTAGAATTTAGCAGAGCCATGATGGGGCTAAATTATAGGATCTCAGTATTTCTTTCTCTGAAGTTTACATCTTTAAGAAATAAACTAAGTGATGTCACTTATTAAAGCTTCTTACTAGTTAAAAATAGAATACCTTTTAAAAATGCTCTGGTTTAACAATAGGTTAACGCATGTGGAACGTAAAGCACATGTCTGATTTTTTGCTAAATGCTAGTGCAATTACTCGGGAATTTACCAAATAATTTGTTGAGCAGTTGATTCGAAGACTTTGCCCGTTAACACACACACCTAAAGATGTCTAGAGTCTGTGAAACCCAGTTTGCAAGAGGCTCTTTTCCTTGTCTCTATCACATTAATATATGCAAGAGCCAGAGTTAACCAGAAAAGTATCAAAGGATTCTCAAGATTTATCCTTTACATTTAAATAGAATTCCTGCCCAGCCCTGGTATTGTTAGTAACCACACCCTATCATTAAACATATGCAGTCCTGTGGGAAACGTTGGCTTTTCAGCCACTTTGCTGTTGCTTTTCAGTATGCTTCAATGTGTTTTGCACTTGCTGCTCGCATTATACCCATCTGAACAGTGCAGTGCTGACCTACATTTTAGACTCTGGGTCTGGCACGGCATGGGAAGCGGCTGCTGAGACTCCCAGTGCTACCCGGCTTGTGGCGAGCGCTTGGCTAGATGAGCCTCCATCTCCCTTTCCCTTGGCTAAAAGCACTCCTTCTGCTGCAGAGAGCTCCATCCAGTCACCTTGCCCGGTCGGTCGAAAGGAGGCTTGGCTGGCCAGGAACTGGTCCTGCTCTCTCTGGAGCAATGAGTGTTCTCTTCGCTATCACAATTCCCTCCAACAACTTCGCTTCCTCCTGATCCAGCTTCCCAGAGCATGTCCTTCCTCTGGGACTGAGCTCTAATGTTATTTTTTTCAAAAGGTCAGTGAAGAAATTTTTAAAAAATATTTTTTTATTGATTTCAAAGAGGAAGGGAGAGGGGGAGAGAGAAACATCAATGATGAGAGAGAATCATTGATCGGTTGCCTCCTGTACACCCCCTACTGGGCATGTGCCCTGCCTGGGGATCGAACCGTGACCTCTAGTTCATAGGTGGAAGCTCCACCACTTAGCCTCTCAGGCCAAACAATAAAGTGAACTTTTGAGGTCTGATATTTTTTCCTTGCCATTTGGCAGCCCTTCTCCCCAACAGAAGACAATAACTTGTTCAATAAATATTTTGCGTTAGGGATCTCCACGCCTTCCTACAACCTGCCCGCTCTGCTCCTAGGGTAGAGTCGAGAACATCTGATTTCAGTACCTCACACCTCCCAGATCTAAAGAGGACTTTGTTTATTAGTTACATAGCTTTAATTGCATGGCTGAGATTAAAAATTAATGTCAATGTGAACGCCAACAGAATTAAAATTTAGTTTAGAATCTGCTGCAGTTTTCTTTTGGGGACCAGGAAACATGTGTTTTATTTCCTGATTACAGACTGGGACTAACATTTGGACAGTTTCTTTTCTCCCTTTCCTGGTATCTACTAGAATGTCCTATGTCCCTTTGGCAAGACTATGTATAAATCATGCTTCATGTCCCAAGTTCATTATTTTGTTTACGTTATTTCTTTGATCAGTTCATATTGCTGTTACTAATGCTTGTAGTCAGAGTAATTCACTTAATGCTCTTCATACCTGTAAAGGGGTAACCACTCAATAAATACCAAGTCCAAAAAGTAATTTCAATTTATACATAACAAGGTCTGTCTGAATCGACTGTTTCACAAGGTACTAACCAGTCTACCTTCGCTTCCGCCTTCCTCCTGGCAGGTGCCAGGACCAGTGCCCTGTGGGCAGATACGGAGTGCACTGTGCGGAGACCTGCCAGTGTGTCAACGGGGGGAAATGCTACCACGTGAGTGGCTCCTGCCTCTGTGAAGCGGGCTTTTCTGGCGAACACTGCGAGGCACGCCTGTGTCCTGACGGGCTCTACGGCATCAGATGTGACAAGCGCTGCCCCTGCCACCTGGACAACACTCATAGGTGAGGGCCCGTTGCCCCTGGAAGGACATGGCCACCATTTGAAAGGAGAGATTGGCAGAGAGATTCCCACCCCAAGACCGTTCCTGCCTCTGAGTTGTCCTGGGCAAGGAACCACTGAGTGAATGGAAGACTTTTGTGCTTGGTGGGAGGTGGTCTACATCAGAAGTGCTAACACCGTCAGATGGTTGTGGGTGGATAGCAAATCCTATTCTGTACTAATGGTGACTAGCAAAAATTAAACTTGCTGAGGTTAATGGAACGTTTCCCGGAGAGAGGGATTCTGTGACATTCCCTGAGCAGCAAAGATGCAGTGAGAGATATGGGTTAAGCCAGTTTAGTATGTAAAAGTCTCACAAAGTGATTCTCACGGTAACATCTTTTGCTTGGCAGAAAGAACATCTGTGTAGAGAGGAAGTGTATCTGTGGACGTTTTTGTGAAAGTGCTCCACATGTGGCTGTCACATGTGAAATATGTTTTCAGAATTGATTACCCTGACATAGAAACTCACAGGGGTCTCTTAGCTCAAAAATCTCTCGAAGAATTTAAGAACAGGAAACCATGATCCCACCCACCCCACTGTACCTTGTCTACCCCTGAAAATATCTTTCCACCCCCCTGACTTCCTCTTCCTTCCCCAAGGACCAGATACATATCACTTAGAATTCTGGGTTTCATTTGTAAACTGCTGGGAAAGTTGAGTTTGACCAAAATGTTGTGCATTATACAGCAGCTCAGACGTTACAAGAATTACTTTATTTGCATTCAGCACAGCTGTTCTTTCATTTATGTTTCTAAAAGATAGCTCGTGGCCACATCAGATCTCAAATGCACAAAAATTAAAAGTAAACACAAGCCTGTGGTTGGTCTCTTTTTTAAACCATTGTTTGGAATTTTAAAAAATGGACTTTTGCATTGTATGCATGTTGTGTGTGTGTGTGTGTGTGTGTGTGTGTGTGTGTGCGCGCGTGCGCGTGCGCAAGTGCGTGCACACATACCCACATGCTGGCATACATTTCAATGGGGCACATCAAAGAAGTACATTCTTAAGATCTCAAGCAATGTTGTGAGCTACTTTAGTCAACTTTTGGTTTTCTTTATTGGAAAATCCTGCCACTATTTACATGACAAGGCTAAACAAACATTGGGGAGTAAAAATAAATAATCTCTACAGGATTTTGTTTGTTTTTAACCTTTCCAATATTTAAGGGGCTGGCAGAATTTAGGGACAAGTCATGAGTTTGGCTACCTTTCCTGCAGAAAGCTTGTCCCAGCAAAGGTAAGCCACATGTAGTGACAGTTAAGAGTGTTTTAATGCCAGTGTGCCATTTCATTGTGTGTAGACACAGCCTGAAATCAAATAGATTACTAAACCTATACAAAGGAGCTCCGCTAGGAGAAGAATTGGAAGAGCAGATAAAATGTTGGTTTTATTGTTGGGGACCATGTTAGCAGTGGCAAGTGCAATTGGACAGTTAATAGGTAGTATTTGCATTTCACTTATATTTGCATGTAAGCTACAGCAGGGTATGCCTACATATCATTTTTTCACATGGATTCAGCAAATTTTTTGTTTTGCTTTTTGGAACTTTCTGGGTGTGTTTTTTTCCTAAATATTTTTGATCTGCGCTTGATTGCATCCTGAATGCAAAACCATGGAAAAGGAGGACCAATTGTACATGAAATTATTTGACAATCACAGATCAAAAGAACACAAAAACCTGTCTAATAAAACATAACAATCAGAAGTTTAAAAAACAAATGGCCTGTGAAGTGCTTTCCAAATAATAAAAGCTACTTTTAAAAATTAGTTTTTACAGATTTCTAGTAAAACCATTTGAATGTTGATTATATAACTGTATCATGCTGAATTCACAAGTGGAGCCAGGCGTCTGATTTTTGTATCTTGAGCTTCTATGTAAAATTCCTGGAAACATATGGTTCCTTTGAACTAAAAGCCATAGAATATTTTTATCATTTGAAAGTCAAGCTTGTTCATTTTACCATTTAATCACGCAAGTAGAGCTTTCTATTACATAATTTATTATGTATATTTTAAAACCTTTCATTATAATTAATGAGTTAACTAATACAATGCAAACTATTAGTTTAGCTTGCCTATTGGTAAATTTGGAGTTATAAGGACATACATATTGACATATATTGCAGTCGTACTAGTATATTTGGGTAGGGGTTTGTATCAGCATTCGCTGCATTAAAAATAAAATCCTATCCCAAATTTACTGATATAAAACAATTATTTATAAGCTGGTGACTTTTTTTTTTTGGCATGACTATTTGTGCTGGGCTCAGCTTAGTGGTTCTTTTGTTGGTCTCCCTATGTTCAGTTGGCAGATCAACTAGAGCCTGATTGGGCTAGAATTCTTCACTTACATAGCTAACATTTGATGGGTGAGAGGGGTGGCTGACCCTATGTCTCCAGCATCTATCAGGTTAGCCTGGGCTTCTCTATATGGTGACAAGCAGCAAGACACAGCCGCAAGCTCCAATGTGCAAACATTTTGCAAACATTTGGTTACTGCATGTTTGCTAATATTCCTTTAGACAAAGCAGGTCACACAACCAAGTCCAGATTCAGTACATTCTACCTCTTGATGGGCAGAGTTGTAGCCATTTTTATTTTGCCGTTTATCATATGGTTCAAATGAATTTAAATATATTCATTCATGATACTAGCATTTAAAATTACAGTACTGTTATAGAGCCTAAAGACAGTCACTGTGGCCTGGACTTTTCAACTGAAAACTAACTTCAATGGTGGGAATGCTTTTGACCTCTTGGTAACAACACCAATTGATAAAAATAAAATGATAAATGATTATATGTGAAAATAAAACTTGAGATTTAGTAAGATTCCACATGAGATATTTATATTAGCTCTTCTTAATGAAGACATTTAATAGCTGTGGGCAATCAGGATGTGCCTATTTGCAATTGCCACCTGATTATATTTGAACATTAATAACATCTAAGGAAATGAATAAAAGGAAACTCTAGAACTCATTCTATTTTAGCCAATATTGTATTGGGCTTATAATAATTTAACTCTTAAATTGAAAATTTTACTAGAAGATGGGTATCTAGTTATATATGTGTATAAAATGATAGGTGTTCCTATATGTGTATAATCCTATTTTCACATACACAAAGCAAGCTGTTCTATAGACAGAGACCAGATAGGAGTTTACCACCCTTCAGCCTTGAATCGGCTGCTCTCACATCAACACGTAAATCTGTCTCATTACCAATTAAGCTGCCAGCACAAGAACACATCAAATGCCTGCCAAGTGCTCTGGCTTCCTATACCTAATTACAAATTGCAGAATACTAATTTGGGTGTCAATCAATCCAAGAACCAGTGCGCTGCACTAATACTCACTGGGGGGCATTGAATATCAATTTCTCTGTCTGCCTCTAGCTTAGTTCAATTTCCTGTCCCCAAATTACCTGTTTTGTTTAACATTTATATCTATACCATGAAATTTATTTTTTCCTTTTAATGTAAAGTAATATTTTCCACGAGAAGATATCCTTTTTTATAGTATGGTTAGATAAGGTAAACTACTTTAACCAATCCATTTCCCAAACTATTTATTTTCCTCTTCTCAGATGTAGGACCTTACTGAACTAAATTTAAGTTGTCCCTGCTTTTTGCACAACACAGGCTTTTATTGGTCCTGCTAACAATTGATCTATGCTATATCCTAAGTAATAGCAATTCTTTTTTCATATCTAGCTTTCTTAGTGGACTGCTATCAAAGTTCCTTTTTCTTTGGTATAAAAACAAATAACTAAAGTGGGTTTGAGTTTGATTCTGCCACTACCTGTATGAGACTTTGAATGAAGTATTTACTCTTTCTAGGTCCCTGTTCCCTCATTTATAAAATGGGATTACACCTAATACTTAGGATGATTGTAAGGATTAAATGAAATAATGCACATGGGTTGCTAAGCATGGTGTGAGCACACATCGGTGGAGTCCGCGCTGGCTGCCTGTCTGTGCATTCACTTACAGTATCATCATTAATGTCACATTGAGTCCCTCTAAGCCATGACTTTGACGTTTTAAAAACTTATTGTAGGGGAAATCTTGCCTTTCTATTCCAATATAGAGATTACAATTGAACATTGCCGATGACTCAGAGATTAGAGAGAAGCAGATTCGTTTGGGAACCCAAGGTCCCTGAGTCAGACCCTACTACACAGAAACAGTGACATTTTCACTTAATCATTATATATTGTGGGCCTTCTGTGCACCAGGGACAAGTAACAAAACACACCTGCCCTCATGGAGCTCAAAGTGTAGAGGGGAAGGAAGACATTGAAAGATTGTAAAAAATAAACCCAAGATTATAGACTGTGATGAGTAGATGAGGAGAAAGAGCAGGATGCTATGAAAGAGAATGACAGGAGAGACCTGTTTTAAATGAGAGTTGTCAGAAAATGTCCCTGTAAGGAAGATATACTATTTAAGCTTGGACTGGGCGGGGAAGATGGAGAGAGCTAGGCCGAGTGGGAAACAGCATTCTAGGCATATGGAATATAGCCCATGTGAGGCCTTTGAGTTGAAAAATCTCAACGCTTTTTCCCCCACACACCCTAAAATCCATTACAACTGAGCATAGTAATCGAAATGAAAGAAGAGGTTGGGAAGTAGGCGATGGCCAGATGATGAGGGCCTAAGGGCTATATGTAGGGTGACCCTGTATCTGGTGTCTCAAGGACCATCTGGTTTAGGCTTGTTGTCCTAATGTCAGTAACTGCCTTTTTCACTCTAAAAATGACCTGGTGTTAACAATTAAGGCCTGTGACAGATGCCTAGGCCTTTGCTTGTGGGAATTTAGTTGTAATGGGGCCTAAAAGTATAACTAAATAAATTTATGAAAATGAGAGCAAACTGTCCCACTACAAGGGTGTGGCTGAGACCCTCACTTGACAGATGAGGACGTCAGGCCCAGAGAAGTTGTGTGCTTTCCCTTCGTTTACCCAGGTAGTGGGACAGCTGGAATTCCTCCCTCCGTCTTCATCCATCCCAAAGAATCATTCTTTCCAAGAGTAGAAGATCTATGAACAGTCCTCCAAGAGAGGTCCTTTAGCAAATGTCTGGATGCCACAGTGGATTTTGTTATTGACCCTACGTAAGGGGAGGGTTTTCTCTCTGGAGAGGACGCCCATCTTTAACAGTCTTCCATTGTGAGCAGAGCTAGTTCCATTGTTAAGATTTTCCTTGCTGAGAGGCACATGTGTTTCGAGTGTCACAGAGTGCCCTATTGTGTCCAGCTCAGAAAGGCGTGTATCCTAGCACAGCTGATGTATCCATTTGCTGTGGGGCGACAGCTGGCTGCTTGGCCCATCAGTGTGGCTGCTGTTACAGGTAGAGACAGCTGCACCACCACCACCAGGTATGGGGAGCTTAGAGAAGAAACAGGCTGAAAAGATTGCAACTTTTGGAGTTCCTCGGACATCACCCCTGGTTAACTGATAAGGTATCATTCCTTGGATGGAGTCCTTTAGATCTTTTCATCGTGTTAACCTTTTATTGAATCAGTGCTTTTGATTTATGAAAATTAAAATGAGTTCCAGACCAAAGGACACAGTAGAGGTAGTCATCCTCCTAGAGCATGATGCTGATCCCATGCAACATTTCTGTAGGCCCCACCAGGTAGAGCTGATGAATTAAATCACACCAAGCCTGAGAAGGAAGTGTACATTATTGTATGTGGAATTGCCCACATGATGAGTGATCACGACTAAAGTAGCGTTTGCATGGGCCTTGGGTGTCACGTTTCCCTGAAAGTGACTTGCTCCTCTTCTCCGTGCTCTCAGCTGTCACCCCATGTCTGGAGAGTGTGCCTGTAAGCCAGGCTGGTCAGGCCTCTACTGTAACGAGACATGCTCTCCTGGATTCTATGGGGAAGCTTGCCAGCAGATCTGCAGCTGCCAGAACGGGGCTGACTGTGACAGTGTGACTGGAAAGTGCACCTGTGCCCCGGGATTCAAAGTAAGTGGCTCGGCTCTGGAGGAGGGAGGCAAGGGTGTGATGTGGCTCATATCAGTACCATGATTTATGTGACCTTTTCTGAAGTACAGTGAACATGCTAAAATCAATCCCATCATTAACAAGATAAAGCATGAAAACTAGTAAGGAGCGACACAAGGAATTGCCTTAGAATGATGACTGGGAAAGCCGGTAAAACTATAAATGTGGCATCAATAGTTAATTAATTAATATATGTCATGAAGTATGCTGTATTGTAATTATTCCTTACGTAATTATTTTACTGTTGTATAGGCAGTATAAAGTTTAGTTTTCCAAGTAGGATATGTATTGTTGTCAACAGTTTTTATCTTAATTCCATGTATTTCCATGTGATGGTTAGTAGTACATAAGTTTTTTGGTCCCTTTGGGAATCTAGAACTTACAAAAATGCCTATGCATGCCGATAAAGCAGAATTTTGCCTACTTGCTAAGGTTTCTTAGCTACGGATCAGGAATCTTTTAAAGGAAAATGGGTTGTTTTTGAATTATTTCTCCCATTTTAAAGAGAACATTAAACTCTGAAGGATGTTGATGATTATTCCAGAGCATTTCATGCAGAACAAGAGAATCATAAACTCTCTGAGCTGAGAGGACTTTACAGGGTTTTCTAACCTATGACATAGTCCTTTGGTTGAGCCCTTGAATCTGCCTTGTCTTAAAGCGTTCTTTCTGTGGTTTTTGTTGTTGTTGTTGTTTGGTATGTTTTTTTGTTTTGTTTTGTTTTGTTTTGTTTTTTTGGTTAATCCTCACCTGAGGATGTTTTTCCATTGATTTTTAGGGAGAGTGGGAGAGAGAGGGAAAGACAGAGAGAAACATCACTGTGAGAGAAACACATCGATTGGTTGGTTGCCTCCTACACGAGCCCTGACCAGGGCCCAGGCCAAGGAGGAGCCTGTACGTGCCCTTGACCAGAATCAAACCCTGGACTCTTCTGTCCACAGGCCGATGCTCTCTCCACTGAGCCAACCCAGCTAGGGCAGTCCCTTCTGTTTTAAAAGGAGGTCACCTCCAGTCACCTCTGGTAACCAACGTCTAGGTTTAAGGCTCGCCGTCAGATAACAAATTGAATCATGTGGGCTGTTGCTTTGCTGCACCCACTAATCATATTATATATTTATCATACAAGGAAGTCTAGGAAGCATTGCGATTTAATGTATAGCTCATATTTATGTTTATTTGTTGACAGTAATTTTACAGCTGCAGTTTATTGTGATATAGCTTCTTGTCTGAGCAAGGACAAAAGGTTTTATATTTGCTACCAAGGAAACTAATGAAGGCAGCAGGCTTTTGGGGATGTTATTCAACACTGTATCATAAACATGGGCCAGCTAGCATTGTCCTTGAATCTCTAAATTTGTATGGTGGTGACATTATAGCAACTTTGTAATATACAATGTGTTAAAATTGGCGCAGGAGTATAATTAGTATCACCAAGATATATTTTTGTTTATTTGCGCTGGCCTTATTTCAGTGGGTAGAGTTGCATGCATTTTCCTGTTTGCGCCTGTCTAGGGAACTGACTGCTCTGCGCCATGCCCTCTGGGAACCTACGGGGTCAACTGTTCCTCTCTCTGTGGCTGTAAGAACGATGCTGTCTGCTCTCCTGTGGACGGCTCGTGTACTTGCAAGGCAGGTAAGTGGGTGAAAGAGTCTGTTTTCTGATCCTGGTCCTTTTATCTCCTAAAGTCACAGCAATGAAACCTTAACGAGGGTTCTAGGTCCAGCTGTGCCAAAATTCAGTGCCTGATCTCAACAAGCCCTTCAGACGGATTCTCCTGCTTTCGTGATTGGCGGGGGTAGGCTCACCGATGATCTCTGAAGAGTCAGGGAAGAGGCTCAGGCATAGGAGATGATCTCAGCTCCAAAACTCTGTGAGTCTCTGCACTTTGGAGATGACTAAGCCGAGCAGACATGTGTCCATGCGCCTAAGTTTACTGACCTGGAGTCATGACGAGAAATGCAGCCAAGCACCGATTTCACGTGAGGGCCAGCACGTGTGTGTTCAGAGTTCCTGCAGCAGTTAGGACCCTAGGTACTCAGTGCTCATGGTTAAGGGGGTCCTGCATTAAAGACAAGGTGGTTCTTTCAAATGCAAACCTTCCTTTCCCCTCCCATGTAAGTATTTCACCTTTCTAACCGGAACAAAACTCGGCATCACTCTGCATTCAAGCGGCCCTCACTCCATGTCTCCTCCCCCCTTAGCCCAGGAGCGCTTCTCATGTTGGCCTCTGTGTGACGGATCACACACCCATGTGGCTGTTCGGGGGCTTTTGTCCTTTTCTGTGCCGGGGCTGGGACACTGCTGTGCATCTCTAAGACGCTTCTAAAGGGAACGTGGCTGGGAACGGCTTGGCAGGACTCCCTGCTGCCTTTGTTTCCTCACGTGCTCTGGCCTTCTTGTCATGGCAGGCTGGCACGGGGTGGACTGCTCCATCCGCTGTCCCAGTGGCACCTGGGGCTTTGGCTGTAACTTGACGTGCCAGTGCCTCAACGGCGGAGCCTGCAACACCCTGGATGGGACGTGCACGTGCGCACCTGGATGGCGCGGGTTGAAATGTGAACTTCCCTGCCAGGTACGACCAGCCAGTACCCCCGCTGGGAACGCCTGGGAGCCCATGCCAGAGGGTTAGCCTCTTTTTGCAGTTTTTGGGGTTTTTTTTTAAGTATCTGAGTGCAAACCAAATCTTAGTAACTATTATGTATTTGAACTTAGAACGGATATAGGAGCAGAAAAGGGGTAGACATGAAATTGATTAGCTTTATAAGAATCATTTTCTTCTTTTCCTTCATCTCAGGTTCTCCTAATCGCCACCCCTCCTCCAGCCCCCACATCCCCGTCTATTTTTGTTGTTGTTGTTGTTGTTCTTACACACCCACCTCTTCCTGGCAGCCAATCAGTAGCATTTGCCCAACATTCAGTGTATGCCTGTCAACTCTCCAAATACTGTGTTTCCATTGTAATGGGAACCCTCCAGCATTTGGGGAGGAAAGTGGCAGAGAACTGCAGGGGGTGGTGATGGTGTCACAGAAATGCTCATTGAGGTGGTAAAAGAAGGTTTGGAAATGGCCATTTTTTAATGAAAATAGTTCTGGAGTCACAAGAATCCCCAAAGGTTTCCCTAGTTCAACACTTGACCAGCTTTGGAGATATATACATCACTGGACGTCCCCCTCTGTGTCGGTCACCACAGACGGACAGAGGGTGCAAGTTGTGGTTTATGATAAGATAAAAATATTATTTTAATTAATTGGCATATTTAAGTACATCTGCATATATGCATATCAGCATCTTGATTTCACCATTCATATGTACCAACCGTATGTCAGACATAAACTAAGGTCTGAGGGACTTTAAAACGCTGACCTCCTGGAGCCCGTATTTTGGGGGCCAAGAAGGCATGGAAAGAGGTGTTTATAATGCATGTAGCTGAGAGGTGTTGGGACTGTGGCCCCTTTCTCTCCCGTTGTCTTTTTTCCCTGTCCTCATTGCTGTCTCCCATGCAGGACGGCACGTATGGGCTGAACTGTGCAGAGCGCTGTGACTGCAGCCACGCAGACGGCTGCCACCCCACCACGGGCCACTGCCGCTGCCTCCCCGGATGGTCAGGTGAGAGCCCAGGAAATGGGAAATGTGCCAATTTATGCCCAGCACTACCCCTTGCTATTTCAAAGACACACACACAGGTCAACTGTACAGAAAGAATGAAAATAGAGTTGTCTCCAGTAAGCTGACACATTTTTTCCCAAGAAACATTACTATTAGGCCTAATGAACCTGTTATCCAGAAAGGACTTTTTGTTGAACTGGACAGGGCAGTTCTCCTGAGCCTGCATGGAAGGTCCAGCGGTCAGAATTCAGGTGGCCAGAGGGGAGAAGTGTGAATTGCTTTGAAGCGTTTAGCAAGACCTCTGTGGTATTTTGGAGCATTGAGGAAAGAATGATTAAAATAAACCATGAGAATGTAATTGAGCTCACCTTACCGAGATAGAAATATTAAATATTAACATGGTCAATATGCAAATGTTGAAATATTCATTACTAGAATTTGAAAGTTTTAAAATGTAGTTTTTCTTATAATAATATTTGTCATAAAAATTCATAATATGGTTGAATACCAATTTTCTAACCAAATTTCTCCTTATTTATATGGCTTCATGGTTTCAGCCAGGAAGTTTAACAGACTAACAGGGGTCTTAAAAGAAGAGTGGTTTTCCCTCATGATGTACAGACGTGGAAGATGGCACTAAATACCCAAACAAATTGTTCTTTTTTATACACCAATTCAAGCCTATCCTAAAAAACAAAATAAGCAAACTTTTAAGTACATTTTAAGAAACAGTATGACTGGCAACGCAATAGAACAGTTATTAAACATTGGGATGAATGAACTGAGCAATTGATGACCATTCTGCTGAAAGTAAAATAAAACGTTGATTGCTGATTTGCCAATTTAAAGTGAAACCTTGTACTAAGGACTGGGCTAGAGGTAGATAAATGAACCAGAACTTCTTTTTAAAATTAACTTCCCTTTGAAGCCATTTGTGTTTGAGTGTGTATTTATATATATACATATATTATATTTGTATCTAAATAAATCTGTATATAAATTTAGAGAAGAGAGGGAATTTGTAAGAGAACTGTTTCCATATTGATGCTTCAGTATCCTCCAAAACATTTTCAACTTTTCCTCTAAAAAAAAATTGGTAGTAACAAGCTAAATACCCTCTTTAGTGGTGGTATGGATCTTTCAGAAGAGAATTTTGTTCCTCCATACTAGAGATGTCACATTGAGGAAGTTATGGAGTCAGGGTGGTCTTACTTTTAAGCAAAAATGCATCCAAAGAAGATTCTAGAGAAGTAATAAGTAATACTTTCTGAGTTCTTACTGCAGGCTTGCAACTCTATGAGGTAGGAAATATTATTTTCTCCTTTTTACAGATGAGGAAGCTGAGGCAAAGACACGTTAAGTGACTGAACTAAGGTCCCAGAGTCAATAAATGTGAGAGACAGGTTTTGCAAATGCTCCCCACTATGTACCCAACGCGTTTAACTATTGCACCCACCTGCCATCACACTTATTCCAGGAGGTGCTGGAGGACAGGGCACTTACTCTGAGATTTATTATCACTCTGGATGAAGATCCAGCTCTCTCTCTCTCTCTCTCTCTCTCTCTCTCTCTCTCTTTCCATACACACACACACACACACACACACACACACACACACACACGTAGGATGTCCCAAAAAATGTATGCACACTTTAACAACTGATAGCCCAATTTTGAAAATGAAATATATTTTAATAAACACTGCCTTTATAATTATTCAAAGTGTGTGTATACATATATAATAGCTTTATCGAGATATAATCATATGCCATAGAATTCACCTATTTAAAGTGTACAATTCAATGGTTTTTAGTGTATTTAAAGAATTGTACACCACAATCCATTTTAGAAGATTTTCATCACCTCCAAAACTTAGTGCTCATTAGCATTAATTCCCTATTTACCCCCAGTCCTTTCTACTGCCCCCTTTCCCTAGGCAACCACTAATCTACTTCCTGTCTCTGTAGTCTTGCCTGTTTTGATATTGTTTGGACTCGTACAATACATGGTCTTTTGTGACTGGTTTCCTTCACTTAACATTTATTTGCAAGTTTCCTCTCTATTGGAGCATATGTCAACACTTCATTTATTTTGACTGCCAAATAATATTTCATTTCATGGGCAGACCACGTTTTATGTATCCACTCATCATGGATAGATTTTTGAGTTGTTTTCACTTTTTGGCTATTTTTAATAATGCTTCAATGAATATATATATATATATATATATATATATATATATATATATATATATATATATTGCTAGAGGCCCGGTACACAAAATTCATGCACTCGGGGGTGGGTGGGTAGGCCCCTCAGCCCAGCCTGTGCCCTCTCACAGTCCACGAGCCCTTGAGGGATGTCTGACTGATGATGGCTCAGGCCTGTTCCCCAGGGAGCAAGCCTAAGCTGTTAGTCAGACAGCCTTAGTGCTGTGGTAGAGGTGGGAGAGGCTCCTGCCACTGCCGCTTCGCTTGCCAACTGTGAGCCCGCCTTCTGGCTGAGTGATGCTCCCCCTGTGGGAGCACACTGACCACTAGGGGAAGCTCCTGCATTGAGTGTCTTCCCCCTGGTGGTCAGTGCGCGTCATAGCAACTGGTTGTTCTACCATTCGGTCTATTTGCATGTTAGCCTTTTATTATATAGGATATATTTAGAAGTGGAATTGCTGAGTCATAGGGCAATTCTAACCTTTTTAAGAATTAAAAAGAATTGCTAAACTGTTTTTCAAAGTGGCTGCATAATTTTACATTCCTACCAGCAATGTATGAGGGTTCCAATTTTTCCATATCCACACTATCACTTTTTATTATAGCCATTCTTATTGGTAGGAAATAGTATATCATTGTTTTTTATTTGCATTTCCCCGATGAGTAATGACGTTTAATATATTTTCATGTGCTTATTGGCCATCTGTATATCTTTTTTGTTGAAATAGCTATGCAAATTTTTATTTGCTTTTTATTGGGATATTTGTCTTTTTATTATTGAGTTGTAATAGTTCTTCATATATCCTAGATGTATGTCCCTTATCAGATATATAACTTGCAAATATTTTCTCTCATTCTGTGATTTATTTTGTTCACTTTTTGATAGTGCCTGTTGCAGCAGAAAAGTTTTTATTTTGATGAAGCCCAGTTTGTCTATTTTTTCCTTTTTTTTTTTTTTTTTGCTTATGTTTTTGTCATCAAATCTAAGAAACCACTGACTAATCCAAGGTCACAAAGATTTATGCCTCTATATTCTTCTAAGAATTTTATAGTTTTAGCTTTTACACTTTATCTTTACATCTAGGTCTTTGATCCATTTTCAGTTCATTTTCTATATATGGCATGAGATAAATGTTCAACTTCATTCTTTTGCATGTGATTATCAGCACCATTTGTTGAAAAGACTATTCTTTTCTCCATTTAATTGTCTTGACATCCTTGTCAAAGATCAATTGACCATGAATGTGGGAGGCCTTATTTCTGAACTCTCACTTCTTTTCCATTGATATACACTGAGTGGCCAGATTATTATGACCACCCCATCAGTACAATGAAGAGAATTAGTTATGCAAATAATAATAATAATAAAACCTTGAGAGTATTTGCTTAGGAAGTTTTCAATATTCAGTATTTTTGGAAGTGTCAATGAAGTACTGATGGGGTGATCATAATAGTCTGGCCGGTGATAATAATCTGGCCACTCAGTGTATATATATGTATATATGTATCTCTTATGCCAGTACCATATTGTTTTGATTATTTTAGCTTGGTAGAAAGCTTCAAAATTGGGAAGTGTGAGTTCTCCAACTTTAGTCTTCTTTTCCAAGATTGTTTTCACTATTCTGGGTCCCTTAAATTTCCATATAAATTTTAGGATCAGCATGTCAATTCCTGCAGAGAATTAAGGCAGAAATTTAATGAGGATTGAAACTATAGATCAATGTGGGGAGTGTTGCCAACTTAACAACATTGAGTCTTCAGATCCTTGAACACAGGGTGTCATCAGCAGCCTCTTCAGTGGTGTCTTTCAGTCCTTTGGAATTTGTCGAGAGCTTCTTTGGCTTCTGACGGGTAAACTGAAAAGAACCGTCATGTACTTGATTTCTAGTGTCTGAGAGCTACCGTGGGAAACAGACCATGGCTGGTATAATGGACTCTATTTTCTATTAATAGGAGCCACCCACAGACACAAGGACTCCATGGCCCTCTAGTTCCTCCTTGACTTGCAAAAGCTAAGATTACCCAGACTTCACAATATGACGTTCCACCTTCTCATAGTTTCTGTTTGGCTCTCAGTTACTAAATGTTAAAACTACATTATTTCAGGGATTAAAGCAGATTTTTGTGACTTCAATAGGCTTCTTGAAGCTCTCGGATGGAATGACCAGCACTAAGTTCTCAATGATCACAGTGAAACGAAGGAGCATTTTTAACCCCCAGCAAATTCAAAAATTCCCCTACAGAGAGGCCATATCATTTGTTTTGGACAAAACTCCACCCAGTCTCATGAATATAGAGGAAATGTGAGGTGTTCACTGCTCAAGTATCCACCTGCTTTGATGATTTAGAACCAGCCTGTGAAAGGCATACTCTCGCGTACATGAGCAAATCAGGAGCGAGGGTTTGGCCTGAAGCCAGTCAGAAAATGTGTTCGTTGCATTCCACAGTCTGGGTCATGGGGTAAGACAAATTATCCCATCTGGCCTTAGACCTCTGGGCTCCTGAGGGAATGCAATGGCTTTGTCACACAACGTAATCTGTAATCCTCTGTCCGCCTGTGACTGGTCTGCTTCTCCGAAGGGAGGAAGCTCTATCACGTGTCGCCCACCATTCCTTTGCTTCATGGTCCCAGTGACTTGTTTATCCGGGACTTCTGTGTGAGCATCAGGTCTGCAAGTATCGAAGGCTGCTGTGAAATGTCTTTTAGAGAGGTCATCCCCACACTCACAGAACACACACGGAATAAGCAAGTGTATGTCGAGGAAAGAGAGTTCCTGAAGTTCCAGACAG